TCAACTGGTGCTGAAAAACCTGTTGATTCAAAAAATCCTACTGGCTGAAAAATATTAACAAGCAATATTTAAAAGTGATTAGAAAAGGAATTGTGCTATTGCACTGTCTCTTTTGAAGGCACTAATCTTATTTTTAGCAAGATGGTTATCCCTTCATTTCCCAGAGCTCTAAACTCACTAGATTGCTGTCTTACACTCTCCTCTTGAGGAGCAAGTATATGGAGGAACAAGTGTGGGCAATCTCAAGTTCTCTCTTTGTCTGGAGAGGAATTATGTAGAGCTGGTCTACCTTCTGATTCTTCATTCCAGCTTGATCATGGCTCCACTTTTTACAAAATTTTCTTTACTTTGCCATTTAATCTTCCCTGGTAGCAGATTTACTAATACAGAGTAAAGCAAAATATTTGAACTTTGGACATATTTTTGAACAATGTACAGAAGTTAATTTTAAGAGTGTCTTCATGGATACACTATTTAAAAGATATTACGGAAGAGGAACAAGTTTTACCTGACAAGATAGAGCTTCAGATTGTTCTGAAAGTGGATTAATAAGCGAATAATAGGTAATAAGAATCATGTGGAAAAAGAGGCTACACAGGACATACAAAACAAGTCAGCTGATATATTAATAATTAAAAGGGATATACAAATACTAAAACAAGAAAGTGACCTGGATAATTTTCTTATATTGGATTTAGAAAAGATAATTGTTAAAGCTTTGAAAAATTTTGTCAGAAGGAGAAAGAAAAAATAAAAAGAAATCAGGTTCTAGGACATTATTTGAAGGGACTAAAGATGAAGATTGTTAAAAATAAAAGAAAAAAAATATAAAGTTGATTTATTGTTAATCAGGACAATGAAGCTTTAAGGATTTCTTTATGTATAAGAGATGGGATATGGGGAAAAAAATCATTTGTTGTATTTAAAGGGATGTTGATAAATAACTGAAACTGTTTTTACACGTTGTGATGAAGGTGAGAAGGCTCTTATTTATATATTTGTTTTCTTTTTCTTTACTATAGTCTTAGTTTTTCTTTTCTATTTTCTTTTTTTTGCATCTTTTTATTTTTGTAGGTTGCAATTATATTTTTTTTTATTAAGTTTTATTCATTTATAACATAAAATGTGAAAATACAAAAGCAAATAGTAGGGGACAACAGTAGAAAAAGGGAAAACAAAAAAGATGTGAAGAAAGTGGGGGGGAAACAAAAGGCATTGACTTCCGACTCTCTCTGTTGCAGTAAAATCAGACATTAAAATCAAATCTCAGCTTTTTACATTTCTATAGTAGTATGCACTCGCCATTTCTGTATTGGCAGATCAGTCTAGCAATTGTAATTTTTAATAATATTAGATTTTACAAAAAGGAACATGAAAAGTCATTGTTATTTTTCATACTTAAAATAGTAGTTGAGTTCTGGCCATTAGGTTTTATGAAGGACATAGATACAGTGGAGGAGATCAGGATCTAATGCCAATGTGATATGAGGCCTGGGGAAAAAAAACTTATGAGGAAAGACTGTAGGACTTTGATGGACATATCTGGCCAGGAGAACAGACTTTCATGGGAACAGACATTCAAGGAAGAGCTGGCCTATGGAGAATAGGGTAGATTTGTTCAGTAATCGAGAAAACAGGACTGTAATTTAACAATAGGTTTAAAGTAGAAGAAAAGATATTTCGGTTTGACAGTAAAAATATCCTCGTAGTAAGAGCTGTTCAAAAGAACAAACTGCCTTGGAAATGATGGCATCTTCTTTCTTTGAAGTACTTAAAGGCTAGATGGCCATCTATCAAGACTGCTTAGTAGTGGATTCCTTCATGGAATAGGAGGTTGGAGAAAATGATCTCCAATGTTTCTCCCAAGCTTTGCATTCTATGATTTTCTGATTCAGTCAACATACGAAACAGTTTTGAAACCTTGTAGTCAAAGAGAAAACTGAAAACAGTTTGAAACCTTGTAGTCAAAATGAAAACTACCTTCTGCCACTGACAAAAGACAGTCTAATCTCCATAAAGGTTTAATGGAGACATAGAACATCCCACCTAATCTTTTGCAATCTACAGGTACATATTATCTAGAATAGCGTTTTATAATCCTGTGGCCTCCATATACATCATGTGCAATTCTCAGAACTTACACAGCAATTGGGTGCAACAGATTGGTGCAAGATTGACAAATCAGCCATATCCCGGATAACCTCATTCATTAAAAATACATTTAAAACCATTCCTTTCCATTAATTAAAATGTAATCCTAAAATGAAAAGGCCAGCTGCTTAAAATAACTCTGAGGTATGATATTAGCTACAGCACTGATAATCAATGTTCTTGATTTTGATGAAGGTATACTTACTTTTATTGCAACTATAAGCTAACTATTGATTTTACTCCCAAGAGCACAACTGGGGATAAGGGTTTGGCAGTAAAGAAAACACACACAATAAAGAAAACACACACACACACACACACTTCTTCTGGTTAGGAATATCACAAATCTTTTATTGATATTATTTGCCTTTATGTTTTCTGCTTTTATCACAATTTTAATAGATATTATTTAGATGTTCATATGCCATAATGACAAGAAAGCCAGTTGAATTATTCAGGATTTAACTTCCATTAATTAAGGAGTCATAAAAGTTGTTGTGATCATAAGTGAAATGACAGCAACAAGGAACAGGTCTAGGATTCTGCTGATCTACAAAAGGAATCCTAAAACATGCATCTGTTATGAAATATCTAAAATCATGAGTCATATCCAACAAGGCTTTTGGCTGACTTACTTGTTGCCTAATGTCTGAAGGACTTCCTTGTCAATTAAATGGATTTGCTGAATAACATAATAAGCTAATGATTTACTTAATTTTTTTCATATATTGCCCAGGGTAGAAATGACAACATCTGGCATGTGTCAAATTAACTTTCCTTAAGACTTTTATTTTTTTTCTTTCCCTGTTTTTGATCAAGCAAGACAAGTATCCCCTACCCTCTCAGAAAGTAAATGTTAGTAAATGTTATGAAGAGAAAGCATTTGAGATAATTTCCTTCTACCAATGAAGAGTATTTCTACGTTATCATAGACTCAATTATTGAATTCAGTTTTGTTCTTTGGAAGAAGATATATTGCAATAATAGCCTTTCCTTTTTCATTCTGGAATCAAGTATAAAGAGCATTTTGCATATATAATGATCTGGTGCATTCAGATCTATTACAACTCCAAAGCTATTAGCCAGCATTGGTTGGTTCAATCTGGAACTATAAATTCCATTAAAGTCGAGGGTAACAGGTTGGGATAGGTTGTATTGCATAGAAATCACCTATATTTGTGTGGAAAAGTGTACTAGGCAGCATTGCTTTCATTCAGTCACTGCTTCACTAAAACAATATATATTTACATTTATTCATTTATTACAGTTTGTTGGGCTGGGATAGAATGACATAACAATATTCTTTCTCTTAAAAGGACACTCCATCTCAGTCACTGTTTCTGTCAGCTGCCACTTTATGCTTGCTTGTGTGCTTTGCTAACATGTGGTGACAATCTGCCATGAACTCTGGGGAGGGTGAGTGGGAGAGAGAATGCTTGGAGGAAAGCAAAAATAACTGCTGTATCTCCCTGGGATGCTGCTTCAAGGTCACCTGGCTGGGAGAAGATAGCTGCATACCAACCTATGATTGAAGTGACTGTTTTGAAAATATCTTGCTTGAACCGGATTGGTCATGGGGGGGGCGGTTCAGTGATGGGAGGCAGTTAAAGGAGAAAAAAGTTGAATTTAGGGATTTTGGCATGCGAATCTCAGTTCGGACTATGCATTATTGCAATGCATTTTACTTCTAATAAAACTATTCCTTTCCCAACAAATGGAGACAAGGATCATTTCTGTTTAGAGGTTTAAATACTGGCAGATCTGTCAGTGTCTTTTGTCTATCAACATTTTTTTTCCTTTTTATTGTGCCTTTTCTCTTTCCCCCATTTTCCTAGGATTAACCAGTTAAGGATGCCAAAAAAAAGAAAGAAAGATTAATAAAAGAAGCTGCTTTTTTAGTGCCATATTTTGCAGCTCAGATCTGGTGATGCAACCCATTCCATCACCACCACCACCCTCTTTCTACTAACTTGCAATATCTCTTGGTTTTTTAAAGATCATTTGAGCCGCCTTTACTCCATTCTGTCTCTTTGGTTTTGCTCTTTGGTTTTCTAGCTTCTCTCTCTCTTTGCCCTACCAGGCTGCTAAAGAACATCAGGCTTGATTTGTTTGAAATCTAAACTCTGCAAACATCTCCATCTAGTTCAATGTTTCCTAACTTCATCAATGTGAAGATGGATGTACTTCAACTCCCAGGATTCCCAAGACACCCAGAATTCTGGGAGTTGAAGGTCACATATCTTAATGTTGCTGAAGTTGAGAAACATAGATCTTGTCCATCATTTTATTATTTTGTCCTTCCTCTAAAACTTCACTCTGTTGCCTCCTTCTTGATACGATTCCCTCACCTTCATGAAATTAAGCCCAACCACTACTAAAGATATTTCACACCAAATGAGTGCAAACTCATTAACAATAATAGCTGAAATGGTAACCACGGGGATGGTTATATCACTAAATTATATATGGTAGCCCCATTATGATACAGCATAATCGACTCCTAACACCTAATTCTGCCTTTGAAACCAGGTTTCAGAAAGAAGTATATTATTCTTTTATCCACTTATTTGTGCAGTGCCTGATTTTTTTTTAAAAAAAATTGGCATACATTCCATGTGGAGCAAGAACTTTAAGCTGTGCCTTTTAAACTAAAATTATATTGTATTGATTGGCCTGCAGTAATTTTGAACTTTAATATTTGATTCACTGTTATTCCTACATGAAAAGTGGGGAAGTTGTTTTGTTCTGTAAGCCAGGCTGGACTGCTAAGCAATACAGTAGATTTTATATGAATGTTGAAGAATTCAAACATGCACTGAACATAATCCAATTCATATTTTTTTTTCCAGCTGGTTCACTTAAACAAAATGGAGGCAACCAGACCATTGCATTTGCAGCAGCCATGCTGTCCATAGACGCTGAACCCCCTCAGGGACCACCATCAAGTGTGCAGCCTTGTCATGTGCTGACTTTGTCACCAATAAAAATCCCAGTTTTAACATCACCTTTCCAAGGTATGAGTTTTTGCTTGTTGATCAGTATAATATTTCAGTGCTGTAGGAATGAACTGTGGCTACTTGTTTTAAGAATGGTTTCCCATAGAAGCCAAACTTCAACTTAATGTTTGAGAAATACTTAGAATATAATAAAGCCCAATTTGGTTATGGGGCAAGTGTACTTCCGCTGATAACAGAGAGAAGATCCAAAAGATAAACGAATGGTTAAAGGTTCTGATCAGGATTTTTTTAAAAACTGAATTTACCAATTGGGAAATGGTGATTAGGTCATTTGTTGTATGAATGAAGAGAACCATCGGTAGAAGGGCAAATCTATTTTGTGGAAATCCTATTGATAAAATAGCTGAACAGATGTAGTGGTGGTGGGAAGAGACTGTAGGAAGCGGTGCTGGTAAGCCTTAAACATCAGACAGCAATTCTGTGGAATTACCCTGAAAAGGAAAGTCACCAGAAATGACTGAAAGCTGAGAAAAGATGCTGCTGAGGGTGTGATTTATATGAAGTGGAGCCTTTGATGTGAGAAAGAAATCACTGAGAGCTTATTGGCTAAGAAAGATTCTCGAAAGAAAAAGAAATGGTAAACAAGCAAACTTTCATTCAGTTCTTCCAATTTGCAGTTTGAAAGGTAATGCTTGATCATGTCTTATAAATAATTCCAGGAATAATCCTCAAAGTTCTGTTTACCTAGAAAGGTTGTTTTCCAATGAGAGTGTCAGTCCCAAGTATTTGCCATAGAATTTACTGAATTACCACCAATTTACTGAACTGTAGAGGGACTGGGGCTGGGCTGTAATCTTCATAGTTATCAATAGGGCCTTGCATAAAAAAATAACTCAAAAGATTTAGCTGTTGGGCAGTGTGCCATTTTTGGCTAGCTAATCAAAGCTGCACCATTTACATGAGTCAGGACTCAGTATGTGTTATGTATTTATTAAATATATTTAAATGGCAAGCAATATTACCTGGCAATAACTTGCATTGAAATTCATAGAATCTACCTAGTAGTTTTGTGTGAACAGAATCATTGGGAATCAGCTAAATTCTAAAGATGGCTTATTAATTAAATTAATGCCAACTACATGTTAATATAGACTTCTTGTAGTTATCTAAAAGGACAAAAAGCACTTAGTTTTATCAATATAAGGGAAATAATCCTAAAATCCTATCTTGACTTCTTTCTTTATTTTTTGAGAGAAGAGTTTTCCTCAGATATAAACAGTGAATCTTTTCAATGATGTACTTTTTAAAACAGCTGTTACAGCATATACTCACAGTAAAATTGCTTAAGCTCAAAAGAAGATTATTGCAAAGAGCTATCCCATTGAGAAAACCAGTTTGGTATGACTTTTTCAAGGATAAACTTGTCAGGTTTTGGCAGCAGTGTTTTCCTTAGGTTGATAAGATATCAAATAGCATGTCAGGAGTACCAGAAAAATAAATCCATTATCAATCATGCGGCAGGAAATTGCATTATTTATAGATATTCTGTCAAGTGGAATGAACAATAGAAGTTTGAAATAAGTAAAAGTGAAAGCAGATACTACCTGAATTATGTAATTGCATCTGGCATACATAACCTGGTTTATCTAGGGCATAATGGAATGTATCATATATGTCATGGATATTGTATAGAACTGGAATTGATATCTTGGAAATCATCTAGTGGACTTGGGTCCAGAATTGCAACTAGATTAAGCCTAATCTAGACCTGGCTGGGCCAAGAGGGGGAGTGCCCCTCGTTGAAATGTGCCCGCCAGGCTACCGTGCATTTCACCAGCCGAGAGCCCAGGGTCGGGGTGGAGGGGTGGCGGTTATTATTAAGGAAGGCCTGGATCCAAGGGAGACCACTGTGCCGTAGACTGCCGGTTGTGAATCCCTAGGTGTGAAGTGGGGTCATGGGAGGCAGCAGGGCGTGCTGATTGTATACCTGGCTCCCCGCTATGTATCAGCAGCCCTACCCGAGCTTCTCAGTGTGATAGCCGAGATGGCTATTGAGACCCCCAGACTGTTAGTCATGGGGGATTTCAATCTGCCATCGTTAGGTGAAGCATCTGAGGTGGCTCGGGAGTTCATGGCCTCCATGACGGCCATGGACCTGACCCAATTAGTAGATGTCCCTACCCACATCGGAGGACACACACTGGACTTAGTTTTTGCCTCCGGCCAGTGGCTGAGTGATCGTGGTTTAGGGGAAATACTCGAGCCCCTGTCATGGTCAGATCACTCTCTCCTTCGGCTGGCCTTTCCTACTGCTACGCCCCACCGCGGGGAGGCGGAACCAGAAGTGACAAAATGGTTCTGCCCCAGGCGCCTGATGGACCCTGAGAGGTTCCAGACAGAGCTTGGGCCAATACTTGAGACCTTGACCCCCGGCTCGATTGAGGACCTGGTGGCCGCCTGGAATGGTGCAGCCATGGGGGCCCTGGACCGGGTCGTGCCTTTGCGGCCCCTCATCCGATGCTGGTCTACCTTGGCTCCTTGGTTCTCTGAGGAGCTAAGGGTGATGAAGTGTCGGAAGAGATGCCTAGAGAGTAATTGGAGGGCCACCCGCTCCGAATCCGATCGGAAATTGATAAACTCCCATTTAAGGACTTACCTAGTAGCGATAAGAGCGGCGAAACGCAACTATTTCTCCGCTCTTATCGCGTCTGCAGGTAACCGATCTGCCGCCCTGTTTAGGGTGTCCCGCTCCCTCCTTCATCAGAGGGTCCGGGATGTCCCTTTGCAGGGTCGGGCAGAGGAATTTGGGTGTTACCTGCATGACAAAATCGATCGGA